AAGATGATCTCAGAATCTTGACAGATATCGATAAATCTGCATAAGATCTTGAAAGAACTGAACAGAAACTTCCGAAATCTTTCAAGTTTTTATCAAGATCTGCAGTCAAGATTTTTTACTTGGGATCGCGCCCAAATCCGTCCACTGAAGTCAGTCGTCGTAGACCGTATTAATCTGGATATCTGCTGTAAAGTACCGCTTGTGTGAAATTCTTTCTGTTCTAAACAGATCGCTGTTTTATGATGTACAATACTACAAAAGTTACTCGGTATTTATAGATTATTTCTTCCATGTGCGTTTGAACAAAACGGATACAGGTAATACAGGATCCCATTTAATGTAATAATGTTTATCAGAAGTAAATGAAAAGCATTGATTCGTTTTCTTTCTTATACTTTTACCTCACAGGAAAATTAAAAGAAATTTTTCTACCAAATGCACAAAAGAACAATAAAATAAATAAAATTTTTATTGATAATATTTCAAATATATACTATATATTTACAATATTTTTTCATATAAATAAAGATTCCATATTTGAAACTTCTTTTCCTGTTGTTGCTTGTTAAAATTAATTTTTTGTATTTTTTCGATTCTAAAGATATTATAAGGTAAATTCATTCAGTATTGTACCACGATCACATCAAGGTTTGTCGCATATGTCCAGATATATCTTATTTGAAACAGCATTTAATTCTGATTAAGAATATGTCATTTAAAAAAATATCAAAACCTTGGCTTGGGATTCAGGTCAACTCCGACCTTTTCGGGTTCCAGGGGGTAATTTGTACTCAAGTTTCTCATAAACGGCTGAAACGATACAACTGTCACTTTTAGGGTATATACTAAAGACGATGACAAATAAAATGGCACATACAGAATAATTTTAAAATTACTCTTTGATATTTACTCTAGCGAAAGTACATAGAAAATATATAGTGAGAAAGCCCTAAACAAAATTTTGATACGGTATTTGTAAAACAGACTGCATTAATGGTACAATAGTAGAGAATTCGGTCTTTTTTCTTAATTGTTCATCTCTTTCAATTGTAAGATTTTGTAAATTTAGGCATTGAGAAATTATTAAATTGAACATCATAATTGATTCAGGTTCACCATATGTATGCAGCATATATTTCCATAATAATTCTGTATAAAAATTTTGAGATTCATATAACTGTTTAATATTTTGAATACTTATGTTCATCAGTCTCATACTATCCATAGTGAGTAAACTAGTGCTGAATAATAAAATAATGAGCACCAATTTAATTACCGTTGAATTATAAACAAAAATGACAAATTTTTTGTTTATATTTGTCATTTTAGTATGAAATGCTTTACCATGTATTGGTAACATAATATCATTGGGTATTGGATGTTCTACAAAATTATTTAGTTCCAGATAACCTAACGGCATTAATAATCTCAGATTACATCTAATCAATGTTATTTGATCTTCGATATACAACTGATGAAATTCTGGTATGGATTTAAAATAGGAAATAAATGCTGTATATATGCCGCACTCATTATTGACAAAGTCATGTAGTGTCATTCGAGAATTCAAAAAATTTAGATATTTCTGAGTATTGGCTTTTGATTCTCTCTCGTAACAAACGATAACATTATTTAATTGACATCGATCATCTTGACTAAGTGGTGATACACCGTTATTTAGAATATTAAATGTTTGAATCTAAAATCATTTTATATAAATAAATGTTTTCATCCGACATGATTGTTTCTCCTTACCGTTTGTGTTTTCAATCTAATTTTGACGTATTTCATTCGTCTATTTTCCTCTTTTTCTAATTTTCTCAGTTTCATTGCGTTAGCGGTACGAATCCACTCCTTATTCATTTTAACTTGAAAACATTTTTAAAGTCGACAATATGTACAATGTCGTCGAGTAAAAATATCTATATTGCATGAGCCACCGAAACGGCACTTTAAATCGGGCTAAAACGATATAGAATCATTGTGTTTTCTATTGTTAATTGGTTATAAGTTACACCAGTTTATACCTACATTATATCGTAGAGCATTTCGTCTGAAAAATGCTTTTTAAATCATTCATCAGATACTTCTCCATTTCAGATGATGGATGAGACAGATTTTCTCTTTGATTCATTTGAATCAGCAATTGTTGATTATACACCAGATACTGAATCAGGTATGATTTAAATTTAGTTTTCGGTTATCACAGATGCCACAAGTCTTTTGTTCTTTTTGTGATATCCTGCACTTTAGTAAAAATAAAATCTTATCTTATCTTATACAAATATATGTGACAAACATCTTGTAATTGATTTACTTTGTTTTCAGTTTAATCCGTTTGACGACTTTATCCAGTTTACTCAACAGCCCGAAATTTCATCCGAAATTGTGAACTTTACAAGCATGGTCAGTTTTGAAGACGACGAAGAGAAACAGAAAAAAGAGTTAATTTGTTGTGTTTGTGGTGACAAGGCCTATGGTTTTAATTTTAATCAAATAACATGCGAAAGCTGTAAA